TAAAAAGCAAGGAATAGTGTTTTTCTTTCAGACTAACTTTCCCATAGATAACAATTATAATGCTAGACAAAATATTTTTAAAAAAACTATCTGAAGGTACTAGAGAGTCACCAAAAGCAAGCAGGAACTGAAGAGGACTGTACACTTGGAAGAAGGAAATACCATGGTGTGAGTTTTCTGTTTTTATGGCTTTGGCAAGCATAGACACTATACTACATAAAACCACTAAAATTTAAAGATAAATTAAAACGGGCAATGTTCATAGCAATCTGACCGCCTTGAGGTACTGTGGATCAGAGTTGGAATGACCATGGCAGCTGGGAAGTGAGAGAGGGAAACCTCAGAATGGACTGAGTGAGAGCAGAAGCTCCAAATTCTGCATATAAACTCCACCTAAGACCCCTTAACTATGTATGTTTGAAGCAGCACGATTAAAAATAAAATAACTGAATACAAAATTTCAGCTGCCATACACCACAGAGAAAATAAAATGCTATAGGTCAAATATGTGTCCCACCTCAAATTTATATTGTTGAAATGTAATCCCCAATGCGGAAGTAGGGCCTCTGGAAGGTGATTAGGTCATATGAGTGGAGCCATCATGAAAGCGATTAATGTCCTTATAAAGGGAGCCCAGAGAGCTCCTTCATCCCTTTCTAATATGTGGAGACATAGTGTAAAGAAAAACATATATAAACCAGGAAGCAGGTCCTCACGTGACACCAAATCTAGTGGTACATTGATCGTGGACTTCTAGCCTCCAGAAGTGTAAGAAATAAATTTCTGATGTTTATAAGTTACCCAATATATGATATTTTTGTTATAGCAGCCTGAGGAGACTAAGACATAAGAGTTTGAAGCTTGATTTCATCTAAGATGTGTCCTAAAACAAAATAAAAAAATCAATACTCTTTGAAGTAATATAACAGAATCCAGAGATTCTATCATTCATAACATCCAGGATAGAACCAAAAATTACTAGGCATACTAAGAGACAGGAAAACGTGACCCACACTTAAAAGAAAAGGCATTCAATGCGGATTAACACAGATGACCCAGATGTTGGAATTAGTATACAAGGAGTTTAAAGCAGGGATTATAACTATATTCAGTATATAAAGGAACATATACTCTTAATGAATGAGCAAATAAGAAATCTCAGCAGAGAAATATAAACTATATATACATAAAAAGAATGAAATAGATATTCCAGAACTCCAAAATATACTATCTAAAGTTATATTTCATATGGGCTTAATAGTAGCTTGCGATGATAGAAGCAAGAACCAGTAAATGTGAAGCTAGATAAATATGTATTATCCAGTTTGAAAAACAGACAGAACAAAACAATGGGGGAAAAAGCAGAACCTCAAGTACATGTGTGCCACTACCAAGAAGTTCAACATTTGTAAAATTATAATATCAAAAAGAAAAAATAAGAAATTGGGCAAAAAAATTTAAGGACTCAATGGCTGAAAATATTCTAAATTTGGTGAAAGTTTTAAGTTCACAGAGTCAAGAAGTTTAGTAAACTCCCATCAGGATAGATATGGACATATAATAGTCAAATTGTTAAAAACCAAAGATAAAGAGAAAATCTTGAAAGCAAACAGAAACAATGACACATTACATACAGCTTAGCATCAATTTGAAATATTGCTGACTTCTCATAAAAAACAATGAAAATCAGAAGAAAATTAGAATGCTGAGAGAAAAAAATTATCAACCCAGAATTTTATATGCACTGAACATGTTCTTAAGGAATTAGGGTGAAATAGAGACATTTCATAATAAAACTAAGAGAATGTTCTGCCAACAGACTTTCACTGAAAGGTGAGATGAATGAGGTCAGGTAGGAATAAAGAACACTGGAAATAGTAAACATATGAGTGAATGTAGGAGACTTTTTTTTTTCTTATTTCTTTAAAATACATATGGTTATTTAAAAAAATTACAAAATTCTGTTGTGGAGCTTATAACATAGGTAAATGTAATACACATAAAAGCTAAAACATAAAGGAGCAGAGAGGTGGCAAATGGACCTAGATAACCGCAAGAGTCTTATGTTTTACATCTTCTGGTATATACATGTGAAAATTTAAGGCTGTATAATGTAATCCCTAGAGCAGCCACTACAACTAGAAAGCCTATAGACAGAATGCAATTACTTATTTATTCAAAAGATGGTGGAAAAGGAAGAACAGAGGACGAAAAATCAGATGGTACAGACAGAAAGCAAATAAAACATAGTAGACTTAAATCCAACCATAGCACTACAGTTGACCCTTGAACAACATGGGTTTGAACTACGTGTGTCCACTTATATGTAGATTTTTTATAGCATTGTCCTATAAATGTATTTCCTGTTCCTTATGATTTCCTTAATAACATTCTTTTCTCTAGCTTACTATGTTGTAAGAATACAGCATATAACACATATACAAAATCTGAGTTAATTGTTTATCAGTAAAGCTTCTGGTCAATAGTAGGCTATTAGTAGTTACGTCTTTGGGGAGTCAGAAGTTACACATAAATTTTTTACTGTGCAGGGGTCAGTGCCCCTAACCCCTGCATTGTTCAAGTGTCAAGTGGTAATTATATTAAATGTAAATGGGCTAAAAATTCCAAGTAAAAAGCCAGAGATGGGGGGGTGGAATTTTAATTTAGTAGCAAGAGGAAATCAGAGAAATCTTAGAGTGGCAACTTTACTTCTGATTATATAGATTGTTGAATTCTATACTGATTTACCCATGAGATTGTGTAGGTTCTCATGTTTTTTGAATGGTGTGGGTGTTCTTCCCTTACAGCAGGGATACATAATCTCTAGAAAATGTCCTTAAATTCAAATTTGAAGAAACAGAGGTTTGGGTCTGAGTGCTTCCTCTCCCAGAAGGATTCTCTTGCACATTTCTTCCTAGTGTCCAGCATTGCATATAATAAGATTTAATTTGCCTATTTGACTTGCATATAAATAACTCGGAGGGCCACTCATGTAATTTTTTATAAGACAAAGATTAGACTCCCTAGATTAAGAAAAAAATTATACTATGATTGTTATAATTCCCTGGATAACTGCCTTTCTTTCAGTAAGACTGAAAGCTCTGTCATATTCCTTCTTATCCCCCCAGAAAATTAAGCCAGTGACTGGCACAATAGTGGGCATTAAATAAATAACAACATGATTTCTAGTCCTAGAAGTAATTTACAACTGCCTCTTAATTACATTTATCTGTATATTATTTATTAACTTTTAAAACTACTTTTATTAATGAATAATTTTATATAATAAAAAGTTCCCATTTTAAATGTATAGTTTGATGAGCTGAATAAATGTATACACACATGCAACCACCAACACAATCAAGATACTTGTATATGGGGAACAAGGCTAGAAATTATATCAATAAGGAAAGCCTAAAACTCTTCAGGATACAGAATTGGTTCCCTATTTTCCAATTCACAAGGTGTTTTCATTTTTTTCTCTCTTGCCAGACTAACGTTTCAAATTCTCGGAAGTACTGTATATAGAAAACCCTAAAGACTCCACCAAGAAACTATTAGAACTGATAAATGAATTCAGTAAAGCCATAAGATATAAAATCAATGTACAGAAATCTGCTGCATTCCTATACACTAATAATGAAGCAGCAGAAAGTGAAATTAAGAGGGGTGCATGGGTGGCTCAGTTGGTTATGCATCTGACTTTTTTTTTTTTTAAAGATTTTATTTATTTATTTCAGAAAGAGAGTGAGTGTGAGAGAGAGAGAGCATGTGCAGGGGGAGGAGGAGACTCCCTACTGAGCAGGGAGCCCAATAGGAGGCTCAATGCTCGGCTTGATGTGGGGCTCAATCCCGGACTCCAGGATTATGACCTGAGCCGAAGGCAGATGCTTAACTGACTGAGCCACCCAGGAACCCCTGCATCTGACTCTTGATCTCAGCTCAGGTCCTGATCTCAGGGTTGTGAGCTCAAGCCTCACATTGGACTCCATTCTGGGCATAGAGCCTACTTAAAAAAAAAAAAAAAAAAAAAAGTGAAATTAAGAAATTGATATAACTTACAATTGCTCCAAAAACAATACAATATCTAGGAATAAACTTAACCAAAGAGGTGAAAAACCTGTACTCTGAAAACTATAAAACACTGATGACAATATAAAGAATGGAAGAACATTCTGTGCTCATGGATTAGAAGAACAAATATTGTTAAAATGTCTATACTACCCAAAGCAATCTATAAATTTAATGCAATCCCTATCAAAATATCAACAGCATTTTTTACAGAACTAGAGCAAACAATCCTAAAATTTGTATGGAACCACAAAAGACCCTGAAGAGCCAAAGCAATCTTGAGAAAGAAGAACAAGGCTAGAGGTATCACAATTTCAGATTTCAAGTTACATTACAAAGCCGCAGTAATTAAAACAGTATGGTACTGGCACAAAAATAGATACATAGATCAATAGAATAGAATAGAGAGCCAGAAACAAACCCATAATCATATGAACACTCTTCAACAAATGGTCTTGGGAAAACTGGTCAGCCAGATGCGAAAGGATGAAATTGGACCACTTTCTTTCACCATACACAAAATAAATATGGATTAAAGACCTAAATGTGAGACCTGCAACCATAAAAATCCTTAAACAGAACACTGGCAGGTATCTCTCTGACATCAGTCATAGCAACATTTTTCTAGACATGTGTCCTGAGGCAAGGGAAGCAAAAGCAAAAATAAACTATTGGGACTTCATCAAAATAGAAAGCTTCTGGACAGCAAAGGAAACAATCAACAAACCTAAGAGGCAACCTACAGAATGGAATATTTGCAAATGACATATCCAATAAAGGGTTGGTATCCAAAATATATAAAGAACTGATACAACTCAACACCCAAAAAATAATCCAATTAAAAAATGGGCAGAAGACATGAACAGACATTTCTCCAAAGAAGACATACAGATAGCCAACAGACACATGAAAAGATGTTCATTACTTACCATCAGGGAAATGCAAATCAAAACTACAAGGAGATACCACCCCACTGGTCAGAATGGCTAAAATAAAAAACACAAGAAACAACAAGTGTTGGTAAGGATGTGGAGAAAAAGGAAGCTTCTTGCACTGTTATGCATGGAAATGCGACCTGGTGCAGCCACTGTGAAAAAACAGTATGGAGGTTCCTCAAAAAGTTAACTACCCTATGATTTAGGAATTGTGCTACTGGGTATTAACCCCCAAAATACAAAAGCATTAATTCAAAGGGATACATGCACTCCTATGTTTACTGCAGCATTATTTACAACAGCCAATCTATGGAAGCAGCCCCATCGATAGAAGAATGGATAAAGAAGATGTGGTGTGTGTGTGTATATATATAAATGTACACATATTTATATACCATGGAATATTATTCAGTCATAAAAAAGAATGAAATTTTGCCATTTGCAGCAATATGGATAGAGCTAGAGAGTATAATGCTAAGTGAAATAAGCCAAAGACAAATACCAGATGATTTCAATCATCTGTGGAATTTAACAAACAAAACAAATGAGCAAAGGAAAAAAAAAGAGAGAGACAAACCAAGAAATAAACTCTTATCTATAGAGAACAAACTGATGGTTACCCAGAGGGAGGTGGGTGGGGGTGGGGGGATAGGGATGGGAGAAATAGGGGATGGGGATTAAAGAGTACACTTACCAGGATGAAAAAAAAATAAAATGAAATGAAAAAAAAATTCTCTTAATCAAAAACAAAAACAAACCAAGAGGCAGGCCTAACAGTAGCATCTTCTGAGAGCCCCAAAGCTGGGGAATTTCAAAGCAGATTAGGTGTGTTATGGTCAGTGGATTAAAAAAAAAAAGACGAATTCTAGGTAGATCCTTGGCAACAAAATTGTCAAGAATTCTGCCCCTGATTTCGCAGAGTTAACAGAAGTTTGCCAATTATTTAATGTGCGTGTCGCACTGTGGTCATTATAGAGATCTATGAATGAGACAGTACTTGTCCAAGACGTCACTATCTCCTTGGGATTAAGGTCATACAAAAATAATCATAACGCAAATGTAAGTGTCATAGAGAGACACACGGGGAATACTAATTGAGGTCTGAATTTTTTAAGAGACCAGCCGTATCTTTAAAACATATTTGGTGTTTATTAATAACCTAGTGTAGTAATCTCTGGAAGTCAAAGAAGATTAGGATGAAGGAGCCAGGCCTTTCTTATTTTTGTTTTTTTTTTTTTTTTTAAAGCAATTAGAAAACTTGCAAAGACAAGTCTATGACTTGCTTACATTCCAGACTCAGTCTCTCAGTCAGAAACCACAGTTTTCCACTAAAAGTGGCACAAAATGGGTTTCTGGAATGTGAGAATAATGGAAGAGTGGTTAAGGTCCAAAGTTGAGGTGGCCTTTCTTCCCTGAGAATGTAGAAATCACACCAGGACAAACAAAAGAGAGAGTGGAGTGGGTTTGGCAGTGGAATTTAAGGATGACCGGAATTAGAAAGTTAAGGTGATAATTCTGGGCTCAAAACCAAAGTGATACTCAGATCCATCCTCACTGATTGGGAAGAAAGGAGTCCTCCTCCTAGAGTTGAAATGATGAAGTGTCCTCCTCCTCACTAACCCCGTGGGAAACTATCCTGCACACAGTTGGAACTGGAAGTCTGTGTAGACATGTATGCCTTGTATAAACTAGTTTCAGATAAAAAATTCCCTTGGTCACTGAGCATGCTCAGCTTTCAGTCTTCTGCAGAAAAGTGGATTGGGTGGCTCCAGCTTTTAGCTTTGGCAACTTGGGTCGGGAGAGCCCGGTTGTGTCTGGCAGAGGCCACAGGTGGAATCTTGAAGAGAAAGGTGTGAGGACTAGGGGGCAGCTGGTAGGGGAGTCAGAGTGGGACCCAAAAGACAATCCATCAATGTGACTGACTTTGATCTGGTCGGCAGCCCTATGTAAAGGAGCCAGATGGTTTTCTGGAGATGGGGAGAACAGATGTTCTGGTCCTAGTCCTTGGGAATGAATCAGGGGCGAGAATGAATGGTCGTTTATTATCCAGTAGTGAGCCTCCTGAGTCCTCCCCAGCTACTCCTTCTTGGGCTACACTCTCCCTTTGCAAGATACTGGGTGTTGGTGCAGAAACCCAGGAGCTGGTTGGAGGATGCTCACCTGGCAGCCCGCAGCCGACGTGCCCCACCTCCCCCACTCCTCCCTCCTCACAAGCTCAAAATAGTCGCCAGGAGCCAGCCAACATCTGGCCGGACTAGAACAGGCTCAGAAACTCACCTTTGCTACCTCGTTTTTGCGTTTGGACTCCCGATGGGGTGCATCCATGCCAATGAGAACCTTACAGATTCTGACTTCTCTGCTTTTGACGTAATGGGGAGAGGGACTTCCTGTTAGTGTATAAACAATAAACAAACATCCAGAAGATGTGCGCCCAGGTTACACAGCCTGCAGGCGGTGCCCGCGGACCAGAGGGCACGGTCGAGGCCCCGGCGCGGTGCGGGGCTGGGGGCAGCCCGCTCATTTCTGGGGTTGCTGGCAACCGGGGAACCTCAAAAATCACACCGAATCTCATAGCTCCGGGCGCCCATGGAGCGCAAGGTACGCTTCGGGGGCGGTCCTGCCTGACCCCGGAAGAGAAAGTTGTTTTGGGGAAGGGGAGCGAGGAGACGAGAGCGAGTTAAGTAAAAATCAAAGTTGTTCTGCTCCCCTCAGGCCGCCTCTCCTCTGCTTCATCTTTACCCCAAGCTCCATTGGAGTCAGGCTTCCTCGGAGGGCCGGACGCTTCCCGAGTCCCAGCCTGAGTAGGGGGATAGGGAGCGCCCCGCCCGCAGGTTCCGACCCTCTCTGGCTCCGGGCCTCCAGGAAAACCCGGAGCGGAGCATCCCCCGGGTCGGGAAACGCCCTCGCGCGCGCCCACTGGCGCGCATGCTCAGTCGCGCGGCGGCCGCGAGTAGGAAGCTCCGCGCGGAATCAGCGGCCGCGGCGGCGCGACTGGAGGGTGGGAGGAGGCGCACCGGCTGGCGGGCGGGGGCGCTGGGACGCGGCTGGGGCTCCCGCCCGAGGTTCCTGCGAGCGCTTGGGACCGCGAACCCCCGCGCGAGGAACTAGCGAGCACCGGAGCCAACGAGTGCAGAGTGGGCAGGGGGCGGAGCGGAGCCGCCGGGCGGAGCGGGCTCAGAGCCCGGGTCTCCGCGGCTCGGCTCGGGACCCGGCGGCGGGGACGGCGATGTTCCACTGCATCCCCCTGTGGCGGTGCAACCGTCATGTGGAGACCATCGACAAGCGCCACTGCTCGCTGGTCTACGTCCCCGAGGAGATCTACCGCTACGCCCGCAGCCTGGAGGAGCTGCTGCTGGACGCCAACCAGCTCCGCGAGCTGCCCGAGGTGAGTGTCCGGCCTCACCTGCGCGCCGTATTCGGGAGAACACGGACGAGCCTGGCCAGCCCTCTCCCCCCCTCTCTCCCGCCGTCTCCTGCCTTCCCCACTCTACCCCCCTTCCACCTCCAGATCCGGTCCGCAGGTCCCACTGAACCACCACTACCTGTAGTCACCTGCTTCTTCCTCCCTTACCGCCCCCCCCCCCCCACCCCGTCGCATTAAAAGTTCCTGATCATTTTGTACAAAGCGAGCGACTTGCAGTTTTCCAAGTAGTCACTAGAGCTTCTGCGACTAGGGAAACGTTCTGGTCTGGTGAGTAGTTGAGATACACGTCTAAGTACTAACAACTGGTGCCTGTGGTCAGGAGCCAGGTGGCTCGGGCTTTTCCCGGGTGAAAGGACAGAGCGTGGCATCCGCTCCCTGGGCAGTTTTCCCTGCGCTGCCTTCCCCTATCACTGGCCAGGGCGCGCTTCCCCGTTGGCTCTGGCAGGTCCGGAGGAGGTGGGCAGCGCTCAGGAGAGTCGCACTATCTCGGCATCTTCCGAGGAATGTGCCCTGGGCCTTATCGCGGGTGGGCAGTGCTTGCAAGTGCTGTAGTTTGGCTGGCGGGTCTTGGCTCCGGGACCGTTGGAGAATTGGGGGTGGGTAGGAGGAGATCGGGCAGGAAGAGAGCTATGCCTTGGGAGCTGTGGGCAGGTGCCCAGGTGCCCGCTGCTGGGTCCCTGCCTGCGTGGACCTGTTGCGTGGAAGGAGCCGCTGTGAACGTCAGCAGAGACTGTGCCTGACGGGCCAGTTTTGCGGCCGCCTCTCCCGGAGCGGGTACGTTCAGGCTCCTGACTTCTGCCCTTGCAGTGATGCGTTACCTCTTCAGAGTTGTTTACGTAAATTAATCAGTGTGCTGAGGCTGAACTTGTTAAGCGACAGATGCTGATTGAGCTTTAATGGAGGGTCTGTGACTGCGAACTTTTAACCTTCGAGCTTGCGCCGGGAACTTAGCTTGAGTAACCCTCGAAGAGGAAGGTATCACAAATCCAAGGGTGTGCAGGAAGTCGGTGTGCAGTAATCCAAAGGTGTGCAGGAAGTAGGGAGACTAGATTGCTGGGAGTTGGAGGGAGGACCCGAGGCCTGGAGTTGGAACTCAGACAATCTTTCTTGTCCTTTAGTTAACCGAAGGCCCAGACACTGTCACAGAAACACTCACTAGTCAAATGATCTGGCTTGTTAAAATGACCTGCCCGAGTGTTTTAAAAAGCAGAACAGTGTGTTTTTCTTAATATTTCAAGTGTTATTCTTCTTGGATTAACTTTCCTTGGTTCATGTGGAATTGGATGGTTTGCTCTGTGTAATCATGGAGATTATCCTCACTAGGATCTTTGCAAAGCCCCCCAGGCTTTATTTAGCTTAGAAGCAGAAAAGCCATCCAATTCCCTCAGGCATTTATTATTTTGCAGGCATTTCCAAACACATGGCTTTGTCTGGCCTTTAACTTCCTTAAATTTGACTTGAAAGTCATAAATAAGCTCACTTGCTGCCTTACGTTGTGAATAAGTTTTAGGCATTACTAATCGCCAGAAATACAGAATATATTATTTAATACTTTTCAAGTGTGTCAGAATGAAGTTACTAGAGATTGAGTGAAAAGCTATTTAACTAGAAATGTTTCAGTGTTCCTTGTGGTATTTTTGTTTGTTTGTTTGTTTGTTTTAGTAGAACTGGAAGATTTCCTTTGACTGGATTGGCTTTTCACTCCCTTCTGCAAAGTTTGTGGGTTTTCCTGTCATGTTGGGGAATTCAGCTTGGTAAGGGGAAATTATGGGTTTTGGAAGTGTTAGGTATTCTTACTGATCCTAACTGGAAACTTCTCAGAAGCTCAAAATAGTCTGATAGCACTCTGTACATACGGTAAATAAACAAGTTTTTCAGAGACGAAAGGTGGTCTTGCTTATGGGTAATTACTGCTCTTAGAGCTCTGAAATTAGTTTTATGGCTTCTAGGTTGTTTAAAACCTGTTTCTTCATGACTTATTGTGTCTGGGTGCCGGGATGTGTATAAGCCAGACATGAACAACCACCTTGAAAGTACAGATATTTCATTCAAAGGTACAGTCTTTCCTTGGGCTGCTAGTTTCACCTCTAAGGTCTGTGTTACACATGAGCCCTGTTCACTACTCTCCCTGCCCCCTCCTCCAACCTCTATCTCTTTACCTTCCCTATCACCTGGAGGCCTCTTTTGCTGACAGACCCTCAAGGTCCCTGTGGTGGTGGTCATACTGGCTATCTGTTCTCTGTAATTTGTTTGGAAGCACAGACAAGGGAGGGGGGAAGACTGCACCCCGTACCCCAACAGCAAAGATACAGTATCCGGGCTTCAGGATGATGAAAAGGTTTGTAACCTCTGACTTGCTCCAACTTCCTCATTTTGCAAATTGAAACTCGAACTTGAAGTGACTTTTTCAAGGCTGTCCATCTGGTTAGATGCAGTCACTGGTCGCCCCCTTATTCAGCAGCTCTGGACACCTAGCAGGAATCTGGCCTATTCAGCTTCTCAACATCCATTAAAACCTGTTATTTAGTCCCCTCCTGTTTTACTCACATCATGAAGCCTGGCCTCTATCAAGCAGTTATTGACCCTTCATTATTTATTGTTGGTAGGAATATAGAGATTAAAGAAGGTATGATTCTTAGGAGCTATTCACAGCTTTGTGGGGAGACGGATGACTTTAAAACAGAAGTGGTGAGTGTGGGGTGGAGGGGGCATAGCAGTTAGCTTGATGGTTACTTACCTAACCTAACCTTTTACCGAACCTGCCTCCCCGCCCTCAGCAGATTGTCCACCTTGTGATAGCCTCTCAATGCTGCTGTCTGCAGGGAGGGCTCGGAACATTCATCATTAGCCAGACCCCAGATAGATGATAGTCTCACCATCCCTTCCCATCCCCCTTCTCCTTCCCACTTCCTCCCGGCTCCATCCCTTTGGCATGTGTATTAACAGAGACAATCTGACTCTAACCTTCTTGAGATGCTGGCATGTTTTTGCTCATACTTATGAGTGAGCACTGAGCCTGGCACCCAATAGGTCCTGCTCAGTAAACAGCTTTTATCTGTTGAATGAATTTAGCCAATTCTGATACAAATCTTCCTCCTCTGCTTGTTTCTCTTACCTTAAGCATACCACTACTCTGACATCTATTCTTTTCTAATATAGTCAGAATATTCAAGTTGGGAGTAATTTTTTTTCATGACTGTCTAGCTGGTTAGATGCACAGTCTCTGGTTGCTTCAAGTTGGAAACCACTTCAGAAGGTAAAGGTCATTCTGGATAAAGAAGATGTGGTATATATATATATACAATGGAATATTATGCAGCCATCAAAAATGAGATCTTGCCATTTGCAACGATGTGGATGGAACCGGAGGGTATTATGTTGAGTGAAATAAGTCAAACAGAGAAAGACATGTATCATATGATCTCACTGATATGAGGAATTCTTAATTTCAGGAAACAAACTGAGGGTTGCTGGAGTGGGGGGTGGGGTGGGAGGGATGGGGTGACTGGGTGATAGACACTGGGGAGGGTATGTGCTCTGGTAAGCGCTGTGAATTGTGCAAGACTGTTGAATCTCAGATCTGTACCTCTGAAACAAATAATGCAATATATGTTAAGAAAAAAAAAAAAAGAAGAAGAAGGTAGCGGGAGGGGAAGAATGAAGCGGGGGAAATCGGAGGGGTAGACGAACCATGAGAGACGATGGACTCTGAAAAACAAACAGGGTTCTGGAGGGGAGGGGGGTGGGAGGATGGGTTAGCCTGGTGGTGGGTATTGAGGAGGGCACATTCTGCATGGAGCACTGGGTGTTATGCACAAACAATGAATCATGGAACACTTCATCTAAAACTAATGATGTAATGTATGGGGATTAACATAAGAATAAAAAAAATAAAAAAGAAAAAAAATACTTAATATAATAAAAAGGCCCCTCATAAAAAAAAAAAAAAAAGAAGAAGTTAAAGGTCATTGATATGGTGGAGCTGTTTTGTCTTCTCCAAGATCCTCTACCCCACTCTGTACCTTCTCAGTGTTTCTGACACTGTCAGTTTCTCCCGCAAGGTGCATGGATTGTTGAATACCTTCACATATGTGTGTTTTACTGTGATCTCTCTGGCTCCAGTACAGAGCCTAGTCTAATGGGCAGCAAATATTTTGAATGAATGCTGTTGAGTCTGGGCAACTTATAAAACTGAGCTTCATCTTGTCACCTACTCTTAATTAGGATTCAGTTGACCTTTTGATGATAGCCAGATGACATTATCTCAAATATCTACCCCCTTCTAGCATTCTTTCTCATATCCTGCTTAAATTTTTCCCAGCCCTTAGAGCACTATTACTACCTAACTCTAGACTATAAACTTGCTTACTTGTTCTTTGTCTCCCCAACTAGAACATCAGCTCCATGAGGACAGGGATGTTTTTGTTCATGGATGAACCTAGGA